TCAGAATGATGGACGTGGGCATGCAGGACGTGCCTCCCACATTCAAGTCAATGTCACCATTCTTTGGTTTTCCCATTCCTCTGAACATCCAGGCTTCCCGCATCTGTTTTTTTCTTTCTCTGTTTCACAGTTACTCCGTAGTTTCCTCTTCATTGCATGAGATACATTTCTTCCAGTAGCTCACAAGGGCTGCAAGTAACATCTGTCTTGTTTCATCCGTTCTCACATTCGTTCAGTGGGGAGGGCTGTGTGTGCAGCGCAGTTTTCATTTTGGCAGGATTTTTTTTTTTTTTTTTAAGCCAACAGTATAAACGGTCTCCTCCCTGCAGATCGTGTGTTTAAATTAGGAGAAAGCAGAGCAGGCTGCCTGCGGACAGGGGGAGGGGAAAGATTTATGGTGCTTCTGAATTCCCGTGGGAGTTTCCTAGCGGGCCCCTGGGAATCTGCTGAGCCCCGCAGAGTTGAACCTCACCCATATGCGAAGCTTCTATTTCACAGGAGGAGCCATCAGAAGTGCCACCGTTGTCGCTGTCCCAGAGCTCCGGGCGATCTTTCAGATATGCTGCCTTAACAAACAAAACCTTGAACCCTCCTGCAGCCATCTCCCCGGCTCCTGCTTGGTCATTTCCTCCCCTGAGCACGTCCTGCTGGCTGGCCTTGCCTCGTGCCTTTTGTGCCTGTTCCTAACCTGCTGGCTGCTCGGCAGCCTCTGCGCTCCCTTTTTCGTTCTCACTTCAGCCTTGTATCTGGGACGCTTTTCCTGGCACCCTTCCCAAGTTCTCTCGCTGCCAGCTCGGAGTCAGCACGAGCTTCTTGTCTTCCCTTTCAATTCCTTTTCTATCATGGCAAATAAACCCACTGTCCTCTACGCATACACTATTGATATTATCCTTGACAGATCTTCACTCCTGGCACTCAGCTGCTGCTTAATCATACAGATTCCTCCTCTGATTCACCTCATGTGCTCTTGCAGCCAGCAGCTTGTCTTTGATTTGGCAATGTCACAACGGGAGCGCTGGGATGCCCTCCCTCATTATCCGATTCTCGCCCCGCATGCCCCGTCATTAGCACGCTCCTATTTCACTCAGCTATTTGGGCTGGCGACGTGCCACCTCCTGCGTCCCCTGCCTCTGCCTTTCCGCCCCACTGCCAGTGCCTTGCTCCTTTATGCTCCCCCTGATTTTATCGTTTTCACGCTGCTTTGCAGAGCTGCTGTTGCTCTGCTATTGCTTTGCACGGGATGACCTGCCTGACCTTGGTTCCCAGGTAGCCCTCAGATCCCCCCTCCAAACACGCTTCCACTCTCCCAGGAGGATCTCGTTCTTGTGACATTGGTAAGGTGAGGAGGGGGGGAGGGGGGAGCAAACCAACCAAACCTAGCAAACAATATGACTCGAAAACAGGAACTAACACGATGTGCACGCAGCACCAGAAATAACCTCGCTGCCGTACGCAGCACAAACCCTGTCCTTCCCCTGACCCCTCCCCTGCACGTCTCCTGCCATCTCTCCTCGCTCTGTCGGCCGCTGCTCTCACAGCCCCGTACCTGCAGCCCCGCCATGCCGCAGCCACCCCGGGGGGTTCTTAGCGCTGCAAAACTGCCTCACTGCGCTTCCACGCATGGAAGGGCAGCCTGGAACAACAGGGCTGGTATAAAAATACGATATTTTCCTTTAACCTAGAATAATACTGCAGACAAGGATTCACCCTTGTGCCTCGTGGCTGCTCCTGTGCTGTGTGAAGAGGGTGTTTGTGTTTATTAGCCCTTTTCCCTAGCTGCCCCCTGGCGTGGACTTTGCTCCTCCGGGCTGGGATTTGCAAGCGACAGGAGGCTTTCCACGTGTGTTTGAGAAGGTACAAAGCCTGCAGGAAAACAATGGAAATAGCTGGCTTATGACTGCTGCGTGTCACGCACTCGTTTCTCGCCTGTTGGTTTGTCCTTGGAGCTGCTCACGCCGCCTGGAACCCGGTCAGGAGCGGCTGCGGTGATTGGGGCTGGCACGCACGTTGGCCCGCAGCTGCGCCACGTAGGGAGCAGGGCCAGCTCCCGCCCTGCCGTCTGTGGGCAGGGGGTGCTGAGGTGCCCCCAAAGCACAGCCACAGCCCTGCTGCAGACACGGGACTGGCAGTGGGCTTCTTGCAGGGAGTGGTTGCTGAGAGCAAGGCGTGAGCTGCCTGTCCTGTGTGATGTTTCCCCTGGGGACCCCCAGATCTTGAGTGCAGCAAGGAGAGCCCTGAGCTGAATGCTTGGACCTTTCAGCCCCCATGACAGTCCCCTCACAGCCCCCCATCTCAGTCCCCTCAGCCACCACGTCAGCCCCTCGGCAACCCCCTCATGGCTCCCCACAGTACTCCCTTTAGTACTTGGACATCCTTCCCACAGCCCATCCATGTCAGCCCCTCACGGCCCTCTGTCCATACTCACCTCCTCCCCCCCCCCCCACCCACCCCTCCCCTTTCCCCCCTCCCGGTCCCCACGATGCCGTCCTCCCAGCTTTCACATCCATCCCCTCAGCCCCACCCCATCTCAGCCTCCCCAACCCCATGGCAGACCCTTGCAGCCCCACATCTCTAACGGCGCCCAAATCCATCCCTCCGACCCCACTTCAATCCGCTCAGCCCCAGGTCAATCGCAGCCCTCCAGGTCAATCGCAGCCCCCTATCCATCCTCTCAGCCACCCCTCAGCTCTCTCGCAGCCCCTACAGCGGTCCCCTCGGCCCCGTGGCAGCGCAGCCCCCGCACCGATCACCCCGACCCCCACACGCGTCCCCTCAGCCCCACGTCGGTCACAGCCCCTCGTCCCTAAGAGCCGCACGGCATCCCCCGGCCCGGGGCCACGCGGGGTCGGGCAGGGAGCGCCGCGTGCCGCCCCGCCGCTTTCCCGACAACCGCGCCGCGCTGATCTCATCGCCGCGCCGCACGGCAGCTCTTCCCCGCACGGTACGGGCGGCCATCGCGTGCGAGCCGCTTCCCCGCCCCCCGCCCCGCCGCTCCGGCAGCACGCAGGGCGAACAGCTGCTGCGAAGGCGCCGATCAAAGCCTCGCGCTTGGCTTTTCGCACCGCTCCTCATGAAATACCTCCAGCCCTTATTTATTTATTTATTCTTTCTTGCTCGCTCGCTCGCTTTCTCCTGACCTTTGGACATCTGTTCCCTCTGCGTGCGACCGCGCGATTACTTCTTTAACTTGGGGTGACGGCCCCGGGGAGGGGACGCAAGCTCCTTATCCCCCGCCTCGCGGAGCGGCGCGGGGAGCCGACCCGGGGCTGCCAAGCCGGGGATTAACTGCGCCGCGCCGCCCGGGGCCGGCACGCAAAGCGGGAGCGGGTCACGGCGGGGCACACGCGAGGCGGCGGCGGCCCCGGGGAGAAAGAACCCCGCCGGGCGGCCGTCCCGCCGCGTCCGTGCCTTTTCTGATGCTCGCGTCTTTTCCCGATTGACGCCGTTTGGTCGCTTTGCTGTAAGCTCGGCGGGTTTGGCCCGGAGCCGGTTCACGCAGAGGTTGAGCAGATGGCTCGCGTTCTGACACGCCGCTGACCCGGGCCGAGGGGAAAACAGCCAGACGGCTAGCGGGCTTTGCGGGAACAGCGCGGCCGTGTGCGGCGCTCGGGGAGCGCGGAGGCATAGCCGGCACGATGGGGGGCCGGTAACTTAACCGGGGGGCTCCGGTGAATGAATGACGTCACTGTACGACTGAGATAACGGGGGGGTGCTCAGGTGATGACGTCACTGTACGACTGAGATAACGGGGGGGGCTCAGGTGATGACGTCACTGTACGATTGAGATAACGGGGGGGCTCAGGTGAATGAATGACGTCACTGTACGACTGAGCTAACCGGAGGGGGGGTTTCAGGTGAATGACGTCACTGAGGGGCTGAGGTCACTGAGTGCGTTCCCGCGCGCTCCACGTTCCCTTCGCGGGTGCGCGCCGCTGTCACGTGACGCACGCACGCACGCACGCGCCGTTGCCGTGGTGACGGAGGAAGCCGTTGGGGCCGGGAAATGGCCGCCCCCAGCGCCCGCACCTTGCCGGGCCTCGGCCTCTCCCTTGCGGTGCGGCTGTGTGTGGGGGCTCACAGGCCGTGCCTCCCTCCATTCCCTCCCTTCATCTCCCTTCTCCTGGCCTTCCTGAGGCAGAGCGCGCTCTGACTGCCCGAGCTCTGTCGGTTCCCCGGCCATGCAGCGGCACGTCCCTGTGCACGCCTTGCCCGAGGCGATTCAGAAGGTACGGAACGGGAAGGAGCGGCGAACCTTGTGGGGTCGGGACCTGCAGGAGTGTTCTGTTGGCCTCAGAGCGTCGGGAACCACAGAGCGTAGCTTGGTTCTGGGTAGGGTTGGTTTTGTCACATACGGAGTGTGGTTACGGGCAGTAGTACTAGATGTGATTCTGCAGGTGTGCTCACAGGAACGCATTCACTGTATGTGCTGCTATCGATAGCAGGTGAGGCTCCAGCTTTATCCCACACAGCGTGTTCTGTGCCATAAGTTTGGAATCCATCAGCAGAAGGTTGGCCAGCAGGGACAGGGAGGTGATTGTCCCCATCTGCAGCGCTGCGTCCAGGTCTGGAGCCCCCAGTACAAGAAAGACAGAGAGCTGTTGGAGGGGGTCCAGAGGAGCCACAGAGATGATCAGGGACTGCAGCACCTCCCCTGTGAAGGCAGGCTGAGGGAGCTGGGCTTGTTCAGCATGGAGAAAAGAAGGCTGTGGGGTGACCTCATTGCAGCCTTTCTGTACCTAAAGGGGAGACAGGAGGGGAGTCAACTCTTGGAAAGGGTCGATATCTGCAGGACGAGGGGAAATGATTTTAAGTTGAGGGAGAGAAGATTTAGGTTGGATGTCAGGGGGAAGTTCTACACTATGAGAGTGGTGAAGTGCTGGAACAGCTGCCCAGAGAGGCTGTGGATGCCCCATCCATCCCTAGAGGTGTTCAAGGCCAGGTTGGATGGGGCCATGGGCAGCCTGGGCTGGTATTAAATAGGGAGGTTGGTGGCCCTGTGTGTGGCGGGGGGGTTGGAGATTCATGATCCTTGAGGTCCCTTCCAACCTGGGGCATTCTGGGATTCTGTGAATGCCTACGTGTAATCGTTCTGAAGAAGTGCAAATGCAATTAGGAACAGAAGATTCTGCCTAATCCTCTCTCTGTATCTTCTCACTGTGTGTGAGGGTGCTCTTTTTTTGGGAAACCGATTCCTACCGAAGTAATAAAGCTGTTGTTTGTAGGGGGCATCCAGTGGGCAGGCTGTGTGCACGTGATGATGCACACGAGTGGAACACAACTCACTTCTTGTTACACTCTGAAGCTTTCACTTTGACACTGAAACACCCAGCTGTCCTCTATTTATTTATTTATTTATTTATTTATTTATTTAATTATGTGTCTCTACTAATCAACAAGTAATCTAAGCATTTTCTCTGCTTAGGCTAGCAGAGTCTGCATAAATTCTTCCTGGAATAGTCAAGAATACCGTTGAGACAGTTTCTGAACCATCAGTGATGATTGCAGAAAATTCAGAGATTGGGTAAGATAGGCAAAGCAAGAGAAGGAAAGTACTTAGGTAAGGGATGAACCTGGGAATCTTATAGAGCCACCAGCAACTTTCTTGGCAGCAGGAAATCACTTTTTGTTTATTTGGAAATCACTTTGCAAGCATCAGCGGGATAAGCCGGTTAGGAAAAATCAGTGCAAGTTTCTCAACCAAACAAGCATGCCAAGCTAAGAGATGAGGTTCAGTGGAACATTGTTCCAGATCCAGTACTGCTCTGTGCTTTCCCATGACTTGAAGCTGTAGCTGGTGGCCCTTCAGCCACCTGTCTTTCTCTTGGCTTGGTTCCTGACCTAGTTCCCAATCAGAGTGCTGTGCATGTGCTGACATGAGGAGGAGGCAGGTGTGAGAGCAGGCACAAACTGGGCAGGAAGTAGGTGACCTTATTTCATCCAATGGGATTGTCAGTGTTTGCTAGTTTTTGTTGACCTGGGTTTTAGCTTACAGTAAGGAACACACTGGTGCCAATCTAGGAGGGATTGTGAGTGCTTTGTCTGCAGCATTAAGAATATCTTAGTAAGAACAGGGCATATTTAGAACAAATGGGTCAGATCCATTAATACAAAATATGCAGCATCAGGAAGGCATTAATACAGGAATTGTGTGTGAAACTTGGCCTCAATTATCTTCTCATCAGAGCTGCTGAGGTGTTGATTCTGAACTGCAGACTTGAAGAGTAACACTGCTGGTGGGATCTAGAAAGAGCAAAAGTGGCAAAGAGCTTAAAAGCTCTGTTCTGCTAGTAATTGGCAATAAAACTAGATTTGCTTATTATAGAAGATGCTTGAGGGCACAGTAACAGTATTCACATGTGTAGGAAGGCAGTGGCTGTCTTCCACCTCAGATACAAATTAATCTTATCTTCACTGTTCTAGACATGCTTTGGTTGGATGAGAGGAACTCCAGAAATTGGGGTAGTGAGCACTGGAGCAGCTCACCCAGGGAAGCTGTGGAATTCTTCCTGTGCTGCTGCAGAGGGCAAATAAAACCAATTTTTGCTTTGGAGTGGAGCACAGAGCTCTTGAGCTCTGTTTCAGCTCTGTGGTGTCCTGTTAACAAAAACATCTCTGTGCAGAAGGTGCTTCTAAATATGAACACGAGTATTCTCAAGTTCCTGTCCCATCCCACCCAGTCACCTCAGTGTGAGATACATGAGTTCTAAGGCAATGACAGGCCAAGATTTTGGGATCAGTTAAGAGCCGTGGTTTTACACATCCTCTGCTGCTGCTCAGTTTCTTCACTCAGTTGTAGTTACAAGGTGGGGGCTTGGTTACCTCGCCCTCACAATTTCCTGTATATGTATTTTTTTACCTTTTATGTACACATTCTTATTCCCTTCACATTCTCTGCTTCTTAGATTTTATAGCATCTCTTTTGGAATCTTTCAGTTTGCTCCTAGCATAAGTAGGACTTGTGCCAGCTGTAGCTCATTGTGCCAGACAGAGCACATGCTCCCAACATGCAGCTAACTGGCCAGTGGAACATATGTATCCAGGGGGAGTACGTTAAGCACTGCAATTTCTGCTGCAGAATCAAGAATGCTCAAGCCTGGGTGCTGGTTTGGATTGGCTTGCTTGGCTTGTGATGTTGCAGTGCTCAGAGCAGATCAGAGTAAGGGATGCAGAGCTGTCATCGTTTCTCTCTTCCATGCTGTGGGTGCATGGAGCTTTGTGAGTTGTCAGCACTTTGAGCAGCAATATCACTGCCTCCAAAACAATGCTCTTCTGGAGGATGTGGTGCTGAGGGATAGGAATACAGCCTATCCTGCAGGCAGCTCAGTTGCCAGAGTCTGCCTGGGAGGAAGACCTGTTGCAGTGAAGCCATGGATGCCGTAGCAGAAGCTGAAATAAATTGGCAGGCTGGGCCCAGCAGGTGTTGACCACTACATTTATTAAAACTTTAAAGGTTTTAATCTAGAGAGGAAGAAGCTTCTTGACATTTTGTTATTAAATGATAGATGAGGAGGGACTTAGTTGATATGAACTTGAGGAATCTTTGGCTTTGAAAATCATGTAAGAACTTTAGATGGCCCTGGTTCTCTGTCTCCCCCTTCTACTGCCTTTGTGAGCTCTTGTGCCATACACATTGCAAGATGAGTGCTAAACGGGGGGGAAAAACCCAGCAGGTAAGTGAGCATCCACGTGTCCTTTCAGTGTGAGTAGATTGCCAGTTTTTCATCTCAGTGAAGCGGGAAGCAAAACTGCAGCCACCTACAGAAGAGGGTCAAGTGACACCCTGAGTCATTAAGGCAGCAAACAAAGTTACATCTCATTTTATATCTTACTTGGCAAATAGGTGATCCTTACTTAATACCAATAGCAAAATGAATTGGGCACGAGATATCCTTAAGTATTAGCAGTTCTCATCCTGGGAGCTTAAGAAAGTGAACGAAACAGGAGCTTTGAAGTTGTGTTGTACATCAGTACAGGACGTTCCATGGTATTTGACTCTCCACAAAACATCATGTGCATTGCTAGCAGCAAGTGGTTACTGATTAGATTGGCCCCATGTGCTATAGATTGAGTGCACTATGGCGTCTTTATGAGCACATCTTTCCTTACTTTTCTTTGCTCCCTTTGAACCTGGGATTATTTTTCTTTCCATAGGTTCTTACACAGTTCCAGCTGTGTTAATTGGCTGAAGAGTCAAAGCTGTCCTGTCCATTGAGACTGACTTTGTAGATGTGGCGTGCAGTGTAGCTATGTGTGTAATACTTGAAGCAGTGTTGGTACCAACAGCAGTTTAGAAGCAGCACTGTTTCTGTTCACGCCCTCTGGATGAGCACAGTGACATAATGTGAATGTTCTCAGTGGCTGTAACGTGCTTTGGAAAAGATAGCAAATTTCTGCTTGTTTTTGCTAAAAGCCACGTATTGCAGCGTACAGAGATGTGCAGCTCTGCTGGCTGAGCTGTGGGGCTGTGGTTGCTTTGGGCCTAACGGGATTAGCAACCTGCTATGTTACCAGTGTTTGTTGGGGTACTGGAGGATTTGTAGGAGCAGTTCTTCTGAATGTGAATAATGATCTTCAGTTCTGAGAGTTCTGGAGTCACCGTGAGGTGTTTTGATCTCTTGCTGTATTCATACAGGGCTGGGGCTGTACTCACTGTGCTCAAGTGTTCCTGCGTCCTGTCCTGAGCCAGCATCCAAGCACGTTGCTGGGAGCTGCAGGGATTACAGGAGCCCTTGCCTCATGAGCAGCGCGGCCTGCGCGGCACCGTGGGCATGTGGTCAGTGTTAGCAGTGCTCGTGTGGGGCTCTGCTGTTACTTGCAGTGCTGTACATCTTTATGATTCATTAGTCTGCTTTAAACGCAAGCAGGAAACCATTAAAGCTACCTGAAATATGAGTATTATTTCCTGTTGTGGCAAACTAATTATCTCGGGGCATATTTGGAATGAAATGTTTGGGACTGGGGCATTCTGTTTTTACTGCAATCCTTAGTGGTATTTATATGTATTCGAGGCAAGTACTGTGGCTTGTATTTTGCATCTGCTGCTTTTATGGATGTTGAGAAAATAATTATGTAGGCAGCATGGCTTAGCATTGCAACCTGCAGTGGCTCAGCATTGCAGCATGGAACGCTTTCAGACTTGATGCTGGCTGCAAACTGCCCACAGAAAACTGTGTTTTTAAAGAAGTGAAATTTCAACAGGGACTCTTAGAATCCTTCAATGAAAAAACAGGTAATTTCTATCAGGTAACTCTTTGCACATGGAGCAGAAATCTCCACTGTCTTCCGAGAGTATTATTTGTGTGGCTGCCGTAACCATTTCTTTTTGTGTGACAGATCCCAGGTAGCATGCTAGGAGAGGGAAAATAGAGTGAGAGAAATGAAAGTAGTGTGGCAGAGGGGGTTAAAATGAGAAGAAAGTGCATTCACATAATCAGGTCAAATCAAACAGGCAGAATAAAACGACCAGTATACAGGAATAATTTAAGAGTGCACAACTGCAATGTCATGCAGTTCTGTTTTCTGGAGTTCTGTGTGTTGCTGTGGGACGAGGGCAGCTCAGACAAATGCAGTGTAGTGTTGGTTTTGTCTGCTATTGGGCCAGTTCTTGCTTCAGCAGCCTCAGCTTGCTGGGGCAGATGGGGCAATTAGTGCAGCATTGTGTCCCAGGGGCACGGAGTGCTGCCATCCCCCAAAGCTCTGCCTCCCTGCGCTGCAGGAGTACATAAGTGTGGTGCATCAGTGCTCCTGGCCCTGTGCTTTCATTTCATGGGCCACACGGACGTACTCCAGACTTTTTAGATAATCTCCCTGCCTGAGGACTTAAGGTCTTGCTTTTAGCTATTTCTCAGTTTCCCTCTGTTGGCTGTTTCCAGCATTGGTGGCCATATTCTGGTCCATTAATGCCCAGGTGCTGCTGAGTCCCTAAGGAGATGCTTTTCCTTTAATGAGAGCTTAGGTCTTTAGTGTTTGTTGTCAGTGGAATTGGAAATACAAGCAGAAGAAAGCACAGTGCCCAAGTCAACGCCCCCTGTAGCGTTTCGGTCAAGCAGAAATGATGTAAATTCCCATCCTGCTACTTCAGAAGCTTGAAAAGAAGCTTGTTATTCAAAGGGCTAAAAATGGGCCAGACCACCCGTCTTTTTTTCCCCTTATAACTTATGCTGTCCGTATGCTCGCAGCGTTGAGTCAGACAGATGTGACTACCCATCTCCACTGCTCCTGGGAGCCGAGATCCATGTAACCATGGAGTAACAGGAGTTCTTCCAACACTGAACACAGCTCTCGGTCGGAACTACTCCCACGGATGCTGTAGTGGAACAGCTGCTGGAGCAGCACAGCTCGGGGTGCTGCCTCGTGATGTGGTTTGTTCTGGACGTAGCTCTCATCCTTTAGAGCATCTGGTGTAACGTATGTCAGAGCCGTAGCTCAAAACCTTCCTTGTTTCAACGTTTTGTCCTCAGCGAGTTTCTTTGTTTCTCCTTTTGCTGTGAGCACACAGTACTGTTCTGCTAAATCAAATATCAGGGTTGCTTTTGGTATCCCTCTGTTATCTTTTTATGTCCTATTTGCCCTCGGTATCCCTGTTCAGGTTGACCAAAACCACGATATTGAATCACCTTCAGGTTTTAAAAAATCTCATTTCTTTTTCTGTTCACTGCTTATCCTCACAGTCTCTTTTCTGTTGCACTTCTGATTTTTTTTTTTCATTTTCTGTTCTTTCCAAACTGGGTGTTTTTTTTTTTTCTCTTATCTCAAATACAAACAGGAAAAAGATGATGACAACAATCCTTTGGTCAAATGTAAATAGGAAAATATGGAATCAGCACAGATCTCCTAGTGGTTACTCTGTGATAATCCCCTCCCAGAAGAGGCAGCTCTGTAAGCAAAAGAACTAACAAAGACGTGTTTCCTATGTGCTTGTGCATAGTGGCTGGTGAGCCTTGGTGCCTTGGGTACCAGGAACAATCTCAAGTGGGATCTTCTCCTGCACAGGCCTGCATAAGGTTCTCCCTGCATGCATTACCTGCGCAGGGTAATGGGACTGAGCCGTGCTCCAGGGCATTCCTTAGTAAGGGATCAAGCCCTTCGTGCCCACCTGGCTGTGTGACACCTGTAGAGCACAGTACTCGTGCCTTCAGTGCCAGGGTCACTGATAAATGACCAAACATCCTGGTTCACAGTGACTGAAGGATGACCACAGAGAACTACATGCACAAACAAAGCAATCTTATTTCTCTGGAAAACTGTGCAAAGCCCAAATCCATCTCGTTTGCAAGTCATTTTGAAGGCGTGCTAATGCTCTCTGGCTTCAGCCTTTGAATCAGTGGAGCTGCAAGATGGCTTTGTCACTGTGTTGGTGGAGTGAGATCAGCACCTGCAGCACAGCAGTGTTCCTCTGTTTGGTGCTCCAGGAGATGCTTCGGGTGCCGGCGAGGAGAGCTCTGCTTTGATGCTGGCAATGAAAACTAAGGAGAGCTTGGTGAGCTCGTGTTATGGTGGTGTTTTTCAATCCTGGTACCCAGTGAAATTCCTATAGCTGTTTGTCTGAAAGGCAGAAGTGCTGCAGGAGAGCACGGTGTTCTTTGGGGGATAAGAGCCCCCTCTCTGTCCTCCTTATAACAGCTCATTTCATCCCTTTTCAATAGAGTAATTTTAGTGCTCTGGAACCTAACGATGTTTATCCCGAGTAACAGTTTCATATTTCCGAGCACGGTTTGCAGCTGCCAGGAAAAACAAGCTTGGGTTTTCAGTTCATTCAGAGCAACTGTAACGAGGAGAGTTTTAAACAGGGGCAAAACTTAGAAATTGGAAAATAAAGTTTGGTCTGGAGATTCCGGGGCAGCCTGAAATATTGTTTTTTTCTCATGCTGTATCTAAACTGTGGGGTAATGGATCTCCTCATAGTTTGTTTTTAAGAGCTGTTTTCCTGCCTCTAAGCATTGCTTATTTCCATTTATCCCAGTGTTTCAAAATGTCCTTATTTTAATTTTCTAGAGCACAAGGAATTCTTACATTTTACTCATTTCTCTTAAACTGTTTGCAGTCTTTCATTTTTTTGACTTTTTGTAAGGCATTTTGTTATAAAACTTGTAACTGTTGATAACTGCATGATAGGTTGAAGGCTGCTTTAAATGCTTATTGGACAAACAACTACAGCTCTGGCTGCCATCAGTTTCCAACTGCCGTACCTCAAAGCTTGCCCATAACTTTCTGTTGCTTGGAAGTTGTCCTTCAGCTGTGCAACGAGTGTCCTCTGCTCCAGTCACATTTCTGACTGTTTCCTCACAAACGCATCTGTGCTGCTATCCAAGAATGGGATGCGTTCCAGAGTGGCAGAATGAGATCAGCTCAGGATGGAAGGAGCCTGAGGAGATCCCTCAGCACAACCCTTGGTCACAGAGGGAGCCAGAAGGGACAGGGAATGGGATCCTGCCTGCTTGTGTCCTGCTCTGTGCTTGCATGTCCCACGTGTGGTGTCACAGCGCTGCGTGGCTCTGGCTGGCACAGTCAGTCTGTATGCCTTTCTTGGGCAGGCTTGGTCCTGTGTCACTGTAAGCTGAGTGGTTTTGCTTTTTGTTTCCTGGAAATGAAAGTGGTTACAATACACAGGGATAACTGATACCCTGAGTAGCAAGGGTGAATCAAAGTCCGAGCAGCCTGGTCATTTCTGTGACGTGTCGCTTACTGCAGAGCTCAGCGATTTCATTGCTTACAAGAGTGTTTCCCACTTTAATAGATGGTGTTTCAATTAATGTCTTTAGGTATTTTACCAATGATGAAATTTCATACCTAGCAAACTGCTTACACTTTCCACCACATTCAAGTGCCATTTGCACTGTATCACAGTGGCAGGACCCTTACTTGGGTTATTTCTGTAGGTGACTGAATTACATTACATTACACTACTTATTTTTCCTTTTGTCTTCTCAGCTGGGTGTGAGTTGTCAAAAAAAAAAAAAAAAAAAAACACAGTAATTAACATTTTTCTGGCTCATGCAAGAGGAGATTTCATTAAAGAGTGAACTTAGCAAAGCACAGAAGGCTTCATCTTATTTGAAATTAATGTATTAAACATAACTCAGAAATATTTCAGTGTAGAGTTCTGGAGGAAGCTCCTGCATAGTAAACTGCATAGCTGATTATCCTGTGAAGATTCTGGTGAGCAAAAGTACAATCTGATCATAAACGTTCCAAAGTGTTACAGAGTTTAGACTGTGTTTAAATCACGCCAGTGGCTCTGATTTTGTCGCTGCATTCAGCTAGTTTCTTGCAGCACTCTAACAGTTTCCTCTCTCCCTAGATGTCTCGGGACCAGACGGTGTGCAAGTACTGTGGCGTCAGCTATTTGATACTGCATGAGTTTAAGGTGATGGAAGAAAAAATAAAAGCAATGGAAAAGGAGATTAAGTTTTATGAAGGAAGTCTAGAACGGGAAAAGGGACTTCAAGAAGAACTGCAGTCCCTTTACCAAGACCTTGAGCGCTGCCGAAATGATGGGAAATCCAAAACAGAAAGGTCAGAGCATGTTGTCCAGTGTGATGTTTTTCCTCATGTGTGTGTATTAGGTCACGTCATTCCCAAGAAGTGAAAACTACTAGTAAGTTTTATCTTTTTCATCAGATATAACAAATATACTGTAATATGTCAGTCACACTTTGTGGCGTTCTCTAGACATGAGTTTTGAATTCTTTAGTGGTTTAGAAACAGTCAACATACTTAAAGGAGAAGAAAGGCTGGAAGGCAGTTTGGGGGTATTTCTCCCCCCCCCATGCCAGTCCAAGTGAAAATGATCAAATATTTCATCTTATCATTTTGTCATTAAAACATTTGTAATACTTCTGAAGAAATCCCACAGCCCAGGAGTTTCACCATTCTGAAGTTTGCACTTACTGTCTCATAGTAACACAAAACATCAGCGTTTGTGCCCTGAGAAGCTCACAGTTCGCTATGTGTATGATGATATAGAAAAGCAAATGATGATACAGAGCACTAAAACAATTCTGAACAGTTCTGAACGTCTTGGGGGCTGCTCGTGGCTGTGCTCCTCTGAAGTAGGAGCCTGCAAACGCTTACTGCTTTACTGTTGCAAAGGTCCTCCTAGTTCAAAGGGGTCTTTTGTATTCTCCAGAATTCCAGTACTGCAAAATGTCTTTGTGTTCAAGTGGAACAACAGTTAGAACAGTGTGGTGCGAGCAGAGGAAGCAGAAACTTGTTGGTAATTCCTTGCTCATCTGAATCACGCTGTCAGAAGCTCAAGTATGGGTCAGTCCTTCTGGTCCTAAGGGCTGCTGTTCCTCGTGTGACTGATTTACAGCTAGCAGCAATGGACCTAAGCCTGAAAATACAAAGCATTTGGGGTATGTAGGTGCTCTCCTAGGAGACTGGGAACCCTGGAGGAGAAACAGCTATGGATTGTTTGTAGCTGAAGTGCTCTCATCCATTTACTTTTTCACTTTGTTTTGTGAATAACTCAAATACTGTAGCACTTGGACATGGCTGTTAATGGCTTCTGTTTAGGACAGCATTTGGTAATATAGCAAATAGAACATTCATTTGAACACACAAGTTCACACAAGCTTGAATAAGACACACATTTTGTGCCTCACCCTGCTCATAACTGTATTTCAACACTTTTTCATTGGAGCTGAACTGCCTCCCCCCCAAATTGTCAATGTTTCTTTGGTTTGACAGCATGTTTCTGAAGTGCGTTGCTCCTTGTTCCTCCCAGGGCTCTGGGTGGCAACTGTAGCAGCAACAGCACTCTGTGTGTTAGCAGGTAGGTGACGGCGTGTTCCTGATGAGGACCATTTGCCCCAGCAGGAATTACATTCTCCTTTAGCTGACTTTTTGTAGCAAAGCCGGAAGAGTTACTGAAAATTTTATCTCTGCGTTTTTCCCCCTAAGGCTTGATTTGATTTAAAACCTGCTGAAATGAAACGGAGTACATTCAGTAGGCTTTCATTCAGACCATAAATCAACTATTGTGCCTTGTTAAATCAGCTGTCTAAATATTCCTTATCTCCTTTGTACTGTCCCGGGTCTGCCGTGTTACCTTGGGCCGCTGGCACAAGCTGACTGCTCGGCGTATTAGCTTCTTCCTGGTTCTTGTTGACAAATCTCTCTTCCCAAACTGCAAGTTTTTATCAGAAACCAAATACACCCTTTTTCATCTCTGGTAGACCAAGAGATTTAATCTTTCTTGTTAGATGCAGCCGGTTTCATTTTTATATTCCTTTTTGGTTCCTGTGTTGCTATTGTCTGTACCTGTGGTTAACCTTGAAAGCCGCCTGGGAACTTCAGCTCTTGTGGAACTTGGTCCCCTGCCCTTCTGGGACTTGCTCAGAAGAAGGGGAATTGTCACAGGCTTACCACCCCATCTTCTGGAGGTGCAGGTGTGCTGGAATTGAGCCCCTCTGCATGGGAGCCCTGCGCTCCCTGGGGCTGAACTTACTGACCTCACTGCACGTGGGTACCCTCTATTTACAGGACCCACGTGCACGTATCACCCACAGCCTGATCATTTTTCTAACTAGCAATCTAAAAAATATAAAATAGGCTTAAAAATGCTTTTTAAAGATGACAGTGCTGAGCAACATGGATGTGAGAAGAAGCAAAAACATCTTATGATGTATAGAGACCAGAAGAAGTATATAGATATCACCAAGTAAGGCTTGTCTAAGATCCCTTGTAAATGTATTCCTGAAAACACTTTTTACAAATCAAGCAGAAGGAGTTAACTGTTGATTACTGCCATGCCTTAACATCATTTCTTTTCTATGCAGTTATCAAATTGCTCGTAACTACGATCTCCTTTTTCAATCTTCCATTCAGATAACTCCACTCCCTTAGAAGTGATTCCTGAGTGAAGCTGTGAGGGCAGAGATTCAGTAGGTTGTAATTACTGGAGCTGAAACTGGTAGCCAGATAGGTAGCACTGGGAAATAAAATATTGGCTTTCTTCAGAGATGGGTTTTGAGCTGGTTGTGATGAGGGAACCATCTTTGTCATTGTTTGCCAGGCTGATGTGCAGCTTTACCTTTGCTTGAATGCAGATAATCCAGACTGCCCTCACAATAGGCTTTATTTCTTTTGAGGTAATAAAGATAACAATTAATGCAAGATCACTGTGTTCTCATACTTCTCTTATAATTAAGTCACTGAGTGGTCTACTGAACTCTGAACTTTGTGTAAATATCACCCAAATAACATGCTTATTTTGTCCTCCTTATGGGAATGAGAGTAAACAGAGTGCAAATGTCTTGCCTTGTCTACCTGTTTTTTTGTGTGAGTGATGAAAAAATATTGATAATGTCACTTTGAAACCGAGGGTGCAGTTCTATGCTGACCTCATTATACCAAATCTTTGGAATGGAAAGGGAAAGCAAATGTCTGCTCTTACTTGCGAGTTGCATTTTAAAACTAAAATGCAAAGGCATTTACAGGCAGGTAGGGGAAATTTTTCCTAGGGAGGTAATGCCAAAATTAAAAATATCTGTATATATATTTCCCTTTCAGTGATCACAGTTGGGCCCCAACAACTTGCTTCTTGAGTACCAGATGTTCGGTTATGGATTTGGCTGAGCTCTGCAGACCCAGGTTTCTCTAGCAGGACTGCTGCTTGTTAGATTTGCATTTTCATGCAGATGCATTATAGATGATCCACCTGATAACATTAGCTAACACACATGAATGTTAAGGCTTAACTTCTTGCTACAAATCATTCTTGTTTTCTCTTTATTTCTAAAATTGAAGGAAATGCTGGTGTAATACCTCTGCCATCCTTTGGTTTCATGAAGTACTTGTGGATTCAAGTATTTATTTGCTAGTGACAGTGAGTCACTCGTAGACAAATGGATCATTTATTTACTTGACTTCCACAAGTTGGCTCAGCTGTTTGTTCTGTGCACTTCCATTCATTTCACTACAATTGTGGGAATAACTCAGGAGTTGTTGAAAGAACAATGTTTTCGATTAGATAGTTAACACTGCTGTAGCTGTGCCTGAAAGCTAAACAGGTCAGAACCACTGCTGTGATGAGAATGTTCAAAAGGTCATTTTTTTTAAGATGCCAAGAGAAAAGTATGGATGAGCTACCAAGTCTTGTGGACAGCATGGCAACTGTGGGTTGTGGCCTGTGTGTGCAGCAGGGCTGTGGTGGGATGGAAAGCTCCCCATTGCGCCCCAGGGCCCATCCTCCTCATGCAAGCAGGTGCTAGTGGAAAAGACATGCTGGGTTTCTTGTCCCATGTGTCATCACGGGGCCATTTTGTTTCAGAATATAAGTACAGAAATTAAAGCAAGTCACATGAGGACATGTGGAGGTTGCTCTATGATTACCAAGTAACGATTATGAAGAAGCCACGTGCCAGTGTTAGCAAATGCACTCAGCAGCCATCCGCAGCAGGCATCTCAGCACGATGTCAGGGCGTTGTGTGAGATGTGCCCAATGCAGCACGTGCTCTGCCTGCCCTGGGTTTGAGCTGGGCTGTGCCCTGGGCTGGTCTGGCTGGCAAGAGGTGAGGCTGGGAAAGCCCACAGGCAGCGAAAGCCCCGTCTCGCTCAGCACACTGCACCGTCTGGTCAGCTGGCTGGTTTCAGTCCTACTCCTTTGAGGTGAGATGCAGTGCAGCCCCTCTCCTCGGCTGGGTGCTGCAGCAGCCATGAGAAAATGGGGTTTTGCCACTTTGTGCCATACATCTCATAATCTCAGGTACGTGACTGTAACTGAAGCATAGATGGGACGAATTTTAATTTGTATTTTTAATAGGAAGAAGGGTCCTGATAAGACATTCTCCTTTGCTTCTTCCACTTGAAGGTTGATATGTCAGCCTGAAAAAGGCAGATATCATCACTGGAAAGACCTCAGTATATTTTTGTTTTAAAGTTGAGTAATACCTCACTTTATTTACATTTATAGGATAACAAGCCTAACAATGGAGTTAAAAACCAAACAAGATGAACTGAAGAACGTGAAAGAAGATTTGCGGTATTTCCAGGAAGAAAAGGAAGCTGCCCATAAGCAATCCCAGGTGCTCAGGTGAGGACCTAAAAAGCTTTGCTCTTGGCAATGCCTGTGGCAAGTGGTCAGCTGAAAAGATTTTTTTAGATGCAAGGAATGCAGTGAGTGAGAAGTGTTTGGAACCATCTCCTGGTTTTGCTTATCCAGGATATACGAGATGCTGTAGTGCTAGCAGGGGTAACCAGAACATGTGAGTGCTGATATTCTTAGCAGCAGGCTAGCTTTTTCACAACTTGAAAAACATTATAGAACTCTTAGAAGGAAGTGGGTACCTCTTTCAATACAGTGGGAATACAGACTGCTTACATACTGTTTGTAACAGTTCAGCATGAGCCTGCAGAGGCAGTTCTTCAAGCACTGTTGCTCTGATTTCTCAATAAAAAGTAACTGTTTCATTTTTACATGTGAGTTTAAAATCAGTGTTTAGAAGAACATTGAATCTATAGTAAATTTCATCCAACATATTCCATACTGAATTGTAACCCAATATATTATAAAATACGATGTAACAGAAAAGCAGTTATCAGGCTTACAAGTAAGGTATTTTCTCATAGCTGCTGTTATTTTTCTGCTTTGCAGAAGTACACTGGAACACCATTGCTCAACTCTGAGCAGGGCTGTCTCTCTGTTTCCTTTCATCAGAAGAGAACTAGAAAGTATTAAGGAAGTTGTGTCCAGTAACCTGGAGAGCTGGGCTGCCCTGAAAGAAGAAATTTTTCAACAAATAAGAACTGTTAGCAAAGAAGCTTTGACAGGTAAATTATGTTGTTGTGTGCTGGCAGGCAGTGAGTTTGAAAGCTCAAATTTAGGCTTTAATAACACTTCTGCCTCAGCTGAGAGAGCAGTTTTGCTGGAAAAAAAAATAAAATAGTGTAGTGGCAAACTGCACCATCCAGAGGATCCAAAGAAGCTGTGCATTGGCTCTTGCAACTTTAATGCCTTTGGTCACACTTTGCATCCTTGTATTCAAATTCTTGCAGCTTTTTAGTGTGTATCAGTAGATAAACCAGTATTTGGTCTGGAGTCTATGTGTATCAGGATTATAAGGTTGCCAAGTGCTGGTAAGCTGACATCACCTAGCACAGAACTGGTCAGGAAGGTCCTGTCTGCAAAGCCGGCACACAGAAATCGCTCTGTGGCATCCCTTGTTGTAGCAACAACCAAGGGAAATGTCAGTGTCTTGCACTTTGGTTCATGACTTCATCTCCTAATTAGACTGAGCACAGAAAGTATTGTGTGTTCCTAAGAATTCTTCTCCTCCTGTGTTCTCTGTGTTCTTTCTAGCTAATCAGGAGGATATGTACATGCTTTTCTGCAGACACATTCAGGTTCAAGGAGTTTCATAACATTGCTAAGCAAGGTAGTCATGCATCTTTTTTTCCCCTTCTGAGTGATGTTCAGAAGCCCTTATGCTCTGTTTTATGAGTTAACATTTGGTGACATATGATTGTTTTGTTTTGTCTTACTGTATTTTGCAACAAGATTTTCAGAGCTTGTTTTTTACAAGAAACTGCAAGTGAAGAAATGTTAATGAATTGCTACTCTTTACGCCTTTGTTTGAAAAAAGAAATTATGAAACCCATTATGTATGTACATCATTAAACCTTGGTTACTTAATGGCAAGTAAACACAGGCAAAAAACTTCAAACCTTTTGCCATTTACACTGTTTAGTCTAACAATAAATTGATGTAATTGTGGGTAAGGCTACAGAATGCTGAAGTCCTGAAGCTGTGAATCAGGCGTGGAGCAAGGGAAAGTGATGATATTGCCTTCTATCAGGATATAAACATGCTTGTAAAGGTATTTGTCAATATATAGCTCAGAAGACAATACAGGGAAGCAGCTTACCCTTTCCAGAAGTCACTGAAGCCTCCTGAAGAGGCAGTCTCCAAATAAAGATCCTTCTCCTTTAAAAGAGAGTGAAGAAGGGTCACCTTGCACCTGTATGCTTTGTGTTAGCCACAGCTTCTCACCTGCTGCTCAGCCATTGGTTCAGGCCCTCACCTAGCAATCCCCGTACTCAGGTGAGATGCTTTTTAATGAAGGAGGTAAATTTGACAGCAGGCTATGTGCTTTTTCTCCTCAGAAATACCCAAACTGAATCAAAAGTTAGCAAAATCCCAGAGGGAGAATGAGTGCCTTCAGGAAAAGGTAAAACATCTGACTCTGGTGGCTGATACGGTTGAGCTGAAGACTCAACAGCTTCAAACTTCTCTTCAGCAAGGGAGTGAGCTACAAAGCAGATGCCGTGAGCTACAAAAGGAAACATTAGGTAAGAGAATTTTGAGATTCTAAGCAAATAAAATGAAATGTAGGGTTCTGACCATTACTGTGGCTGTACTCAACAGCTGAACTCAGGCTCTAACAAAGCACTGTTATGTATTTAGGTTAGTATTTCTTGAACCTGGTTTCTTTAGAAAGCAGCATAGTATTTGTGGTGCTGACTCAGAGGTGTTTTAAGGCATTTGGAATGCATAGAGGTGGTGCTGTTCCAGGCATGGCTTTGAGCCATCAAATGGGCACTGTGATTACCATGCCCCCTCATGCACAGTATGTGATTTCACATCTAAAGCAGTGGCTCTCCATGCTAGTCATGATGAAGGAATTTCACTGATCCTTCAGTAGCAGTGATAATATCCAACGTGAGACTGAGGAGTGGAAGACTGCAGTGACTGTGGAAGACTCATCCAAAGAGCTATCAACCCAGACTGCCACAGGCAGGTTTTATTTCTGTCACTGTATAACAATGCTGTTAGGAAAGCTCCAGCAGAGGTGGATTTGAATGCCAGATATGAGCAGATAACTTTACAGCCTTCACCTTATTGCCTTTTTGTGGTACAGGCTCTCACTGTACTGAAAATTGCTCAAGCAGGCAGAATCAGTCAGAAAACATTCAAGGTGACTGGCTCAAAACCAGCACCAGAGTTGCAGATCCTGCAGTGTAACCTACAGCAATCATTTATTGCAGTTAATTAAGCTTTCCTTTCTCTGCTAGAAGGGTAGCATTTATAGAAGGAAAGTTTGATGTTTTTCTTGTGCCATTCGAAGAAAGCGTCCTAAGGTTCTTTAGTACAGCAACCTGGATGTTCCACTGGAAGTGCTGATAAATGGCAGTTATTTACAAGTTATCTGAGGGTGATTGTCCCAGGTTCTCTGAACAGAACCCGTGCAGCAGTGCTTTGGTACCTGCTTGTGACTTGGTTGCATAGTGGCATGTTTTGATCGTGTTGTTACTCCTTTTGCCCTGATACCTGACTTCTCTGTTATATATAGCCAAAAAAATTATTTTCACTTTCTTTTTAGGAATATTGTATGCTCTAACTTTGTATAAATAAGCACAAATAGTGGTAAGATGTCAAGCAGTTAGGCCATTTATTATTGGTCTTTGTCTAGAAATCTGAGTGGGTGTACAACCTGACTGCCATGGGGAAAACATGACTGCATTTGACATGTGTTTTTCTAGTACGAAAATTACTAGCAATAAAACAATCTCAGTGCAGGAAAAGCTCCTTCTCAGGCGCACTCTGACATCCCCTTTGTGTTGAAATGCCTTTTAATTTTTCACACAAAAGAAGAAACTTGTGGGTGGCACAAGTTAAACTTCCACTGCTGCCGTGCAGCCTGTTGCAGTTCCTTCCTTAAGCAAGCACTGAGAACAGCTGTGCTTGTGGCGTTCAGGACTGAAGATTTTTCTTGTTGTGAGGTGCCACGTTCAATAAATCTAAGATGATCTTGCTCATTGCTGGGTGAAGTGGCTGTATGTGGGCACGTGAGAGTTTCGGTGATCTCAGTCGTTGTTCACATGCATTCTTGGGAGCTGGAATGTTGGCACTCACTGCTGCTAAAGTCTGAAGTCCGGTCAGTTTGGAGTCCTGGCCTCACTGCTGAAAGGTGGCACCGTTCAAAGCACGGTGCAGGAACTCCAGCAGCAATTACAGGACAGTCTGTCTTCCTTACATGTCTCATCCTGATCCAGGACATCCTCGGGCCTAATAGGACAGTCTGTTAAGCCTTGAAATATGTGGCTTAATATCCTTACGTAAGATATTTGTATTGCCACATTTATACTGGCATGAGAACTACCCGGTGTTACAACTGGAGTTTTGTAAAGCTGTTTGCTTCAGAAATTCCTGTTTCATGTTGGTTTCATGTTTAGATGCATTGTAAAGATAAATCTTCTGCTTTTTCCTCATTTTTTTTTTAAAAACTCTATGCAGAATTGCTTTGTTTTATGTTAGAAGATGAGAGGAGGTTGCTCACAGTCATCTTCTTTTATTTTGTGGTGTTTGCATGGTGCTGCAGCCTGTGTTCTCAAAACCCGGTATAGTTCCTTAAGTTTCTGCTCTGCACTGGGACTTCACTCCAAGCAGTGATATTTACTTTCTAGCTCTTTATGCATAATATAGTGCACTAACTGTAGTGTAGAAGTGCCACATTGTGAGCAGGTTCAGACTAGTTCATGCACAGCATAGCAACTTTGTGCTCAAAAAGAGTGCATCTTTAAGCTTGCAGTGAAGCTTCTGATCTAGTGGCCCAGCTCTGCTCTTTGGATCTTCCCATGTATTCTTGTGTGAGTCTACCACGATTGCTCAGCATTTCCTATGAAAAGAATGTGGTTTTCAATGGCTTTGAATATTGCCAAACTTATTGATTGTTTTTCTAATAAAAATGGACGTAGCTTTCACGAGAGCAAGACAGGTGGGAAAGTTATTGGATTTCATGTTTTATTATGCAAACTTTGTTGAAAAACACGTGAACTTTCTGTTCTCTGAGAAAGGACTTTGGGACTGGGAGGTTTTAAAGTGTTCTTGACATAGAGGACCAAGTTAAACTCGCGTTCAAGCCTCTGGAAACATTAAATACCAATTTGTTACTGTGGTGGCCAAGCTCTGTTTGATGTTCTGGCTGCAGAGCACTGGGCTGAGCAGTGCTTTCCCATGCACTGTTTGTTCAAGTGTCCCTGTGGCTGTCTGTAAATAAGCTCACACTGAGCAGGGAGATGTGAGCCTTGAGTAGCTGGGGTTTCTTCATCCTGCGGGGGGAGGGAAGCAGCATGGCGTGGTAATATAGGGCTCACAGAGGGGGTGGGGGCTATGTGCTGAAAGCAATAACTCTGAGTAAGGCAGTTGTGCTGTGTGGTAGCTGGGAGGAGGGTGCTCACAGCTGCATGTGTTCAGAAAGCCAACGCATGGGTGGCTGTGGGCAGCATCCTCATCTGTACTGCAGGCTCAGTGCTGCTCCTGGGCATCGTGCTGGGCAAGGGGGGATGGCTGCCAAACACTGTGTTTCCCTTCTCCCTCTGGCCTGGCTCCAGCTGATCCTTGGTGGTGTTCTGTTGCACTGTGTATCCTTAGCTGAGCAACAGCTCCCACGTCTTCTCAGGGGCTTCAGAGTTCAGCTTCCATTCCTCGTTCGCCCATGAGTTGAGGAGGGCAGTTGTGCCACTCGTGGAATTTGGCATTAATATAGACAGCTATAGATCTCTGGGTTTGACAAGAAACAAACTGGGATTTATTGAACTAAATTACTGCTCGTCATTTTGATGTAATCCAACTGAAAGTGAGGACGTGACCCTTGGAAGAAAAGGCCTGAAACATTGGAATATTGTGACAAGATTTTATCCGTGTTTGTTAAACCTTTTCCCCTGTTAGCATTGATAGGAGACGTAACCATGAGCTGACATCTGTGGTTTTGTTATTTAAAAAAAAAAAAAAAAGCAACTGTTGTTTTGGTGTTGTTTGTTGATGTGCATTCCAAAGGAATATTTTGGAAGCTGTGTTTCTGTTTATATGGCGACGGAAAGCATCGTGTTGCTCAGGGCTGCTGCCTCTCCCAGGAAGTGCACCGTCCACAGCCTCTCCTCTCACACTGTTTGTAAAGATGTTTCCAGACATGAAGGGTTTTTAGAAAAAAAGAAACAAAAACAGCCTACGTAATGGGTTCACTCCGAAGTTATCTCAGAGGTTGGTGTGACTGGATCCTCCAGCATCTGGGCAGCAGAATGCTGAGCAGAAGGGTCACTGTGACCGCTGCTCAGAATGCTGTGCTGCTCCCCTCCGTGGTTGTTGCTTCCCTGTGTCAGGTTTTGTTTTCAAACTGCGTGTAGTACAAGTTTGAAGTAGCAGACGTTTTGTGGAGAAAACCTGAATAAGTGGTGTATGGAGTTCAAAGAGCAGTAGGGCTCTGAAAAATATTGCAGAGCTAAAATCTCAGCAATGAACGTCAATGCATTAAGCGAGGCGTTCTTTTCTGTTAATAACAAAAAGGTATCAGTTGTTTCATAATGAATCCACTATTAATAGTTTTTTTTTTTAATAGTTTTCAAGGCAAAAAACCTGCTTGCACGCACATTTTTGTTCTGTCCTTCTCAAATTGATTGATAGAGCACAAATCCATCAGCAGGCAGAGGTCTGTCCCTATGGAACACATTGTAAGGTAAAGTGGGGTAACTCATGATGGCAAAAATCAATTTGCTTTTTTGAAACAGAAAACATGTTTTTAATTGTGAAACAAGCATCAGACATCTTTCCATTGTATTAATAACTTGATAGGAATAAGCAGCACGTTTTTATTGCCATGCTTGATCTTAGTGCATGTTACTTCTAGTTAGTAGGTGTGTACTGCATCAGTGTGTCAGAAATCAGTCAGATCTGCTGTGTCTGGGTCTCCTGCTTTTCTTTTTTCCTCTAACTTCCTTTTCTCCACAAACTGTTGATGCTGATATTCCGGTTTTGGCTCTGTACTGAAATAGTTCAGTGCTCCAAACAAACAAAGAAACACACGGAAAGCCAACCCAGCAGGATGTGTTGTTTGCATGTTCTGAAAGGATTCTCGTTTCTGCAAACAACGCTTTGAAAATTCCTGCTTTGTCTATTTGTGTTAAATCTTAAAATATTGCATATTTCATGTGGTGGCAGTCATTTGCAAGAACCGAAACCAGCTCGTAGTTTCTCCCCTTGTTTCGTGGTTCTTGTGACCTTTATGAAAATCACCTGAATGAGTTACGTTTTGCTGGAGGTGTGATTTGATGTGTGATTTCGTACCACTGAGCAGAGTCATGGTGCACCGTTGGTTAGCGAGAGTTGACAGGTCTTGCAAAATGCTGAGCTCCGAGCAAAGCCTGGTGAGCAGTTGTCTGATCAAATAGGCTTCAAAGCACCCCAAAACCCAACAATGCGTTGTGATGGTGATGTCTATATTCTTGTGGTTGGGAGCAGTGGAGGAAGTGCAATAGCATGTGCTGCTAAAAGATAGGTTCTAATATCCCTGCTT